ACAGAACTTGATTTCTATTAGGTGCACATGGCGTTCATTTGCGCGAAGTTCATGGGGTTGCCTCGTGCGACTTGTTCTGATGGTCCTCCGTGAGGAGCTGCGCAAAGTGTGATGAGAATGGGTAGAAGAAACACCGTTTGAAGTATGATTGGCATTAAAAGGGGTGATTAAAACAGCATCTGGTCGACTGGAGTGAGTCTTTTCCTCTCTGGAAGGTTACGAGGGAAGAAGTAAGTAGGTAAAGTTCTGTTTGAGGCATGTGTAGGGAGTTGGAGGTTGTGTTAAGCAAGCTTAAAATCACTCCCTATGTCCGTGTAGACCAGGCCTGCCCCTACAGGGCATTTGCTGAGGGCTTTTGTAATCATTCTGCCTGCAATGTCATGGCGTTCAGTTCTCATGTTGGAAATGATATGGTTTAAGCAGCCTGAGAGTATGTGTAGTGCGCTATCCAAATGATGGCAGGCTGGAAGGGGGCAAGATGGATTAGTTGACTTTTTGGAACGTACTGCATGTTTTTGGTTGTAGAGGGTGCCTGTGCGGTACTGCAGGACGGTACGCTTCATGGGTACAGAGATGTTGGGCATATTTCTGAAGGCATTGCGGATTTTTTTATCTACTTGCAGTAATAGGTTTTGATAGTAAGAGTAGTAACCTGTTTTGGGATTGGCATATCCAAGCTTGTGTTTAGAATGCATGTGGGATTTGAGAGCATCTTGAAGATTGGGGAAATAGGTGAGCTTGTGGGTGGGTGGTGGACCCGTAGATGTGCCTGCAGCATGYACTCTTTCTTCCTTGGCTAACCAGAAAATATTTGTAAATGGATTTCCACCAGGACCTGCACCAGGGATCTCGGTGTCTGCCACACAGTTCTGGGCTTGCTTTGCCTGATGCTTTGCAATGGCATCTGCACATTCATTTCCAGCGATGCCAGCATGGGACTTCACTTTGTAAATTCGAATTTTGGTATGGAAGTCTCTAATGAGCGTTGAAATCATTTCAAGGACGTCTCCTTGGATATGCCTCAGATGTCTTTCAGGATAGAGAAGCTGTTTACGTATTTGATTGAAAGAGTTGAGGCTGTCTGATGCAATATCTGCATATTCGGTGATGATAGCAGCAGCAATTGCTGCTAATTCAGCTCTTGTGATGGTTTTAATAATCCTGGCACCGTTAGGTTCTACAAAATTCTTGCTGTCAGTGGACGGGCAGTAGACACCTGCTCCAATTTCTTGCTTACCGTTATGGACAAGGCAGCTGCCATCTGTGTATGCCTATGTCCTCCAGTCAGCAACATTAAGAGTTAGGAGAGTACTGGATTGGCTGGGCACCAAGTCTGTACCTTGGATACTCATGTGTAAATAACTGGGCTGCTTGGAGACGTGTTGTTTGTCAAATGGGAGGCGTTCCAGTTTATTGAAACCTGGCATGTGGGCATGCATGGGATTTAGGACAGGGTGGCTGCTGACATTTTTCAGCTTCCACTCTGTAGCTTCTTTCAAATCTCCTTTCAGGCCCTGTAGCCAGTTTTGTTATGGTTATTAAGATGGATTCGAGCTGCAGTGTTCCAAACAGCAAAGATGCGGAGGTCCCAGGTATGCTTAGGTAAAGGTATTTCTCGGTTAGGGTAGGATTGAGGGGCTCTGTAACTAAGTTTTTCTCGAGGTATGTTTCCAAGTTCGTAACAGAAGTGGGGGTATGCATTCAAAAGTTTGGAGTAGGGGTTGGATATCATGTTCTTATTCCAAGCCGGAAGGAACATGAATGTAGCAGTGGCCTCTGTGTTGAGAATGGCAGAGGAAATTGCATGTTGCAAAGCTTGGGTCATGATTCCCTCGTCATAAATGGGATGGCAGACTGAGAAGCCTGAGAATTTTGATGAGAAGGCATTATGCATGGCACCAAAAAGAGTGTCCCGAGAGTCCGCACTCCAATAATTCTGGTATTGTGGGTTGTGGTCTAGTGGGGAGCCATTTTTTCTAGGGTTACCAAAGCCCATTTTTGGAGGGCAGTATGGATGTGAGTTGGAAGGGCTCGTGAGAAAGAGTCTTTGATCTTCTCGCTAGAGTACTTTCTTTCAAGCATGGATTTGCGGGAAAGGAGTCTTTGCGGCTCAGTAGCAAAGTTGCCTGGAGGTGGTGTTATTTTCTCGTGCATGCCAGCAAGCTTGGCCTCATAAAAAGCCCTGTAAAGGATTTGGAAGCGGTTTGGTGATATCATACCAGCACATTTGCCTTGCGTATTATATATGCAAGCCATGTGGGCCGTGTATATTTCTGGAAGAATGAGGGGGGATGGAGTAGGAGGGGAATGGCTGTGGGATCCTGTGTCTGATGGTGCTGGATGAGGGGGTTGCTGGTCCGTGTACTTCACGAGGTCAACCTTGCGCAGCCAATATTCGCATGAGCCTGTAGGTTTTATGTCTGCTTGTGGATTAGTGGGGTTTGTATTAAATGTGATTTTCTTGCGCAATTCTGTGTCCAATTTCTGCTGCCATACATTGGTTTTGTTAGGTTTTGCAAAGCCCTGTCTTTCCAGATTTGAGAGGGTAGAATCTGCGGGGGGCGTTGAGAGAATAGGCTTGCTCTGTCGTGCTTCAAACTTAAGCAAGCACCCTTTAAATTCAGGCCAAGCCTCCTGTAAATCCTCTGATTCCCAGGAGGGCTTCCGAGCGACCCTCCTGAGTTCTTGTTTAGTCTGACGCTCTCTTTTAACTTTTTGGGCATCATTCAGGTTTGCACAGGCAGGACATGCCCATGTGTCGGCTGTTGCAATTTCTTGTCTTTGCTCATCCGAGTAGCATCCAAGCTCCTTCATGCATCCCCAATGGTACGTCCGGTGGCACACATCACAAACATAAATATCAGGAAATGGATCCTCCAAGGTTCCAGTTTCATAACTTGTTTGGTAGTATTTGCATATTTGGCAGCAGGCACACTCAATATCAGTGCGAGCAGCGGGCGAGACATCCTCAGGCACAAGGTTAGCTTGTTTGAAAAGTGGCAAGGCCCCTGTTTCCATTATCATAGGTGCGTAATGCGTGTGATATTGCACTCGGAGGTGGGCGGGGGAGCTTGATTGTTTTTTCTTGTTCTCTGCAAAAATTCTACAATTATCTATGTGAGTAATATCTAAATCATGATAGAAGGCAGAACTGATAGCATGGCTAGCAGTAGTCTCTTTAGCAAGGTTCTCAGCTGTCTTTTTCATACAATTCCAGACTTTTTGGCCTCGGGAAAGGGAGCTTAAAGAGTGGATGGCTGGGGAAATGATCTCACTGTCTGTGTGGAGCAATTGTTGCCTCTTCTTTCTGGGCCTATTTGTTTGAGTATCTAGGTGGTTGATTTACGGAAAAGGCATAGGAGCGTGTGGCCAACTGAAGATCATGCAGAACATGGTACTCATTTAAATAAGTTAGCCAAGTACCATAACTGGGTAGCGCTTCCCTTCCGGCACAATTCTGCTTTTGGTAAACCTCTCCATACTCCTAGGTATCTGCATTTGGA